GTCATCATCATTATTATTTTTTACACTACTGGCTTTTAAAACCCCTGTCCGTATGAAAATCCACTGTCTTTCTCTGTATCCTACAGCATTTTCACAGTAATCTACGGTATATCTACAGTATGCTACGGTATGCTAGCTCTGTATATACAGTAAATCTCTGTATGCCACTGTATGTATCCCCAGCATGCCACAGTTACATACAGTAGGCCCCGATACGCCTACAGTATGCCACTGTATGACTACTGTTTCCTACAGACAACTACGGTAAACCACAGTATATGCCCCAGTACGCCCCTGTATATGTTCATTGAAGCAAAGAGAAGAAGTTTACACACTCCCAGAGCACTGTACGTTTACCTAAGATGTGGGATTATCAATTTAGTACACAGAGTTACCTACCTAAGAAATTTTTGAACATTAATTTAAACACATAGTAGTATTTTTTTTAATTTGTTAAGAGACTTATTGTGTTCTTTTATAACTCTGAAATAACTATTAAAAATTAATAAATCGTTGCTTCAAAAAATATTTATCTATCAATTTTTAAAATTAATTATTAAATTATTCTTTGAATTGATTTATTAGTTAATTAATTTATTTATTTATTTTGCAAACACCTATTTAATCCTAAAATACTTGGAGCGACTTTGTAACTTTTGAAAAAAAAAGAAAAACACGGCCGGGGTAATGCTGCATTTTGGAAAATTGTAGTTTTTAAAATTGATATAGTTTCTTTGAAAAAAAATAAATATAATTAATTAACGGCATGAAATTAATCATTTTAAAAACAAATCAATCTACTTCTTGACAAATGCAGAGCTGCATAATAGACACGGCACAAAGTAAATAAGGTGAAGTGGTAAGTGAAAATTAAATAAAATAAATGACTTTAAAAATACAAAATTAATAAATGAAATAATTATTTATCTTATTTATTTATTCATTCTGTTTATCAGTTTATTTACAAATACATAAATAAACAAAATAAATAAAAATAATTTATTTATTTTTGTAATTGAAAAGACAACAAAGTGATTAAATATACACCCCCCAATTGATTTTTTGGGTCAAGTACAAAATAAGACGAAAATAGTCCCATCCACATAATCTGCAGTAAATCGGTTTTGTTATTATAATATATAAATATTCATGTATAATTATATCAGTTATATTCTTAGATAAATATAAACATGTGCAATACAATAAATGCAAATCACTTTTGAATAAATTTTTACAAGCACTTTAATTCTTTATAATAAAAACCAAGAATACATCTAAAATAACAACACAAACATATTGTTTTACAATTTGACAGGTCGACAGGCTGACAGGTCGACAGGCTGATATGCTGACGTTCAACAGGTCGACAGGTAGACGGCTTTTTTATAATTCAATGTATATTTATTTGTTTTACAATTTGACAGGTCGACAGGCCGACAGGTTGACAGGTCGACAGGCTGACAGGTTGACAGGTCGACAGGTAGACAGCTTTTTTTTAAAAATAATTTATTGTATATTTATTTAGTTAAATCACAACAAGTACCATCTTAGGAGAGGGGTTCACTCATATCATAAGATACATGTACATTGTATGCCTAGAAGTGTAATTTTTATTCTCTTTTCATATGCGCAATGTCTGATTACAGTTAGATGTATACCCAACAAGTACCATCTTAGGAGAGGGGTTCACTCATATCATAAGATACATGTACATTGTATGCCTAGAAGTGTAATTTTTATTCTCTTTTCATATGCGCAATGTCTGATTACAGTTAGATGTATACATCTCTATTTGACAATCCAAACCTATGACGACATGTTGACAGGTCAACAGAATTACATATTTAAATAAACATGTCTATCCGTCGAGCTGTCAACCTGTCTACCTGTCTACCTGTCAACCTGTCGACCTGTCAACCTGTCGACCAGTCTACCTGTCGACCTGTCAACCCGTCGACCTGTCTACCTGTCGACCTGTCTACCTGTCAACCTGTCGACCCGTAGACCTGTCTGCCTGTCTACCTGTCAACCTGTCGACTCGTCGACCTGTCGACATGTCGACCCGTAGACCTGTCAACCTGTCAACCTGTCGACCTGTCGATCTGTCATCCTGTCGACCTGTCGACCTGTTAAGCAGACATAGTATAATTTTCATGAACAGATGATCTCTTAAATTAATTTCGTACATTTATTATCCATTTGATATATAATGCAATAAATTGGTTGCATTGGTAACTAATTCACCAACAATGGCCCTAAATATTCATTAATATATATATTTAATTCATATGCAAAATATGCTAATTTATCTTGTTTTGTACATTTATAAATATAAATGAATATGCAAAAATATATATTCTTACGAGAAAAAAAGGAACTATTTTCGTCTTATAATGTACTTGAGCCGATTTTTTTAGTTTTATTTTTATATTAAAATTATTTCTCCTAAAATATGCTACAAAGTATTTTTTAAGCATATTAAAACAAATTTCAATTATTTTACGTCCATGATGGATATCAAAATAATCGTCAGATTACGCACAATTTTAATTTTTCAATTGCAATTTCATATTTTTACTTTGTTTTGATTGAAAAAAAAATCGGTTTTCAAAATTCTAACACGATTAGGAAAGAACTTCAAAGCCATTGATTGTTTACAACTGACATGGGGTACACAGTAATGACACCTATTATCTTTTTCACTGACCACTATACCTTGTTTATTTCGTGGCAGAGATCAACCGTGTCCACTTTGCGGCTGTTTGAAATAACATTTTCTCTTTGTGAGAAAACCGTTTTTGTCAAACAAAACAAAACAAAATAAAAGTATCAAAAAGCTATTGACGGGTTAAGATTGTGCATAATGAGACGATTATTTTGATATCCAACACGGAAGTAAAATAATTAAAAGTAGTATAAATATGCTTCAAAAAGACTTTGAGAGACATTTTAGCGGAAACTTGTTTACATTAAATAAGCCAAATAAATCTAACTTTCGGGATTATAATTAATTAATTTGGTTGTATCGCTAATTTTAAAAATAAATAGATAAATATATTGTTTTTTTTTTTTTTTTTTACAATGTTAAAATACGTGCTTTAAATCAGTTTTATTTATTTATTCACTAACCATTTAAAAATCAATTATTGAATTGATTTTAAAAACTAAAAATTTTTAAAATGCAGCATTACTCTTGTTGTGTAGGTGTGTGTGTGTGTAATTTTTTCTTCAAAAGGAACAAAAAAGCCATTCCAATTATTTTATGAATTAAACAGGTGTTAGAAAAATAAATAAATGGTAAATAAATTAATTAATTAATTAATCACCATAAAAATGTCAAACTCTTTAATTATATTTTTTACATTGCCAATACAACAAAAAAATCAATTATTTATATCCCCGAAAATGAGATTTCTTAGGGTTTTTTGTACAAATATTTTATCCATACAATGTTACAAAGTATTTTTTAAGCATATTAAATCAAATTTCAGTTATTTTACGTCCATGATGGATATCAAAATAATCGTCACATTATACACAATTCTAATTTGTCAATTGCAATTTCATATTTTTATTTTGTTTTGATTGAAAAAAAAAATCGGTTTTCAAAACCCTAACACGATTATGAAAGAACTTCAAAGCCATTGATTGTTTACAAGTGACTCTGGGTACACATTAATGACACCTATTGTTTTTTTTTCACTGATCACTATACCTTGTTTACTTTGTGACAGAGAGCGACCGTGTCCACTCTGCAGCTGCTTGAAATAACATTTTCTCTTTGTATGAGAACCGATTTTTGTCATACAAAACAAAATAAAAGTTTCAAAAAGGTATTGACGGGTTAAGATTGTGCATAATGAGACGATTATTTTGATTACCAACACGGAAGTAAAATAATTAAAAGTAGTTTAAATATGCTTCAAAAAGACTTTGAAACACATTTTAGCGTAAAATTATTTCCATAAAATTAGCCAAATAAATCCAACTTTCGGGTATACAATTAATAATTTTGTTTGTATATTCAATTTAAAAATAAAAAAAATTATGCAATGATTGATTACATGCAATTAATTAGATTAATTTTTTTTTAAAGAACATCAATAAGTTAAAAAAAAAAAAACAAGAATAACCCCGGCTGTGTTTTTTTTTCACAAAAGTTACAAAGTCATTCCAAGTATTTTATGGATTAAATAAGTGTTCGCAAAATAAATAAATAAATTAATTAACTGATAAATCAAACCAAAGAACACATTAAATAATTAATATTAAAAATTGATAGATAAATATTCTTTGAAGCAATGATTTATTTATTTTTCATAGTTATTTCAGAGTTATAAAAGAACACAATAAGTTTCCTAACAAATTAAAAAAATGCTACTATGTGTTTAAAATAATGTTCAAAAATTTCTTAGGTAAGTAACTCTGTGTACTAAATTGATAATCCCACATCTTAGGTAAACGTACAGTGCTCTGGGAGTGTCTAAACTTCTTCTTTTTGCTTCAGTGAACATATACAGGGGCGTACTGGTGCATATACTGTGGTTTACCGTAGTTGTCTGTAGGAAACAGTAGCCATACAGTGTCATACTGTAGGCGTATCGGGGCATACTGTATGTAACTGTGGCATGCTGGGGATACATACAGTGGCATACAGAGATTTACTGTATATACAGAGCTAGCATACCGTAGCATACTGTAGATATACCGTAGATTACTGTGAAAATGCTGTAGAATACAGAGAAAGACAGTGGATTTTCATACGGACAGGGGTTTTAAAACCAGTAGTGTTATTTTCATCATACATATCAATGAACATATATTTTCTTTCAATTTATTCGGTTGCCTTAATATTCTTTTTCGCTTCAACAGCAACATTTGAAATGCAATCATCTCTGGACCTTTTTGCAATTTTCTGGTCCTAACAATCATAGTTCCTGTATTTTACAGACTATGTAACGCGTATTTCGTTTTAAACTTCAATGTTATTACCCTGTTACCTCGAAACCCTTTGGCTGTAGCTGAGTGTTTTTTGAGATCACTGTATGGCGAGTCATCCTGCAATAAAAGTATATTAAAGTATTTCATTTACTGAATGCGGCATAAGAAGTAAAATTCATAGATCTTTCTGATATGACGTTCCAAATGCAGGCCTTGTGTTACGGTTGGAGTTGGCACGATAAAGAACCCTGAAGTGCCAAATATCGATATTGAAGCCCTTTACCGGTGACGTCTCTATATCAGTACAAGAGGCCCATGGGCCACATCGCTCACCTGAGCACTGTGGCTAGGAAAAAGTAAAATTCACAAGATGAAACACACCCTTTGAGTCCGGCTTAATGGTGGCTTATAGGTCCTTAATGGTGGTTTAATGGTTGTCTTTAAGTCACCATTAAGCACCTTTAAGTTACATTTACACCACCATTAAGTTACCATTAAGCCAACTCAAAGTCCTTATGGGTGCTTAAATGTACCTTAATGGTAGCTTAATGGTGGCTTACAGGTCCTTAATGGTAACTTTTAGACCACCATTAAGTCACCATTAAGCCACCATTAAGCTAGACTTACAGGTGCTTAATGTCCAAACTCCATTAAGCTACCATTAAGCTACCATTAAGCCACCATTAAGCCACCATTAAGTCACATTACACAGTCGATAATATTGTTTATATGGGTGAAAAATTATTTTTATAGTGATTTGTTATCATTATTATAAATGTAGAGTTCGCTTGTATATTGATTTGGTAAAAATAATGAAAAAGAACGAAATTCAAAATCCAAAAAAAAAAATCGCCGTAGTGGGGGTGCGAACCCATGACCTTAGGTTTTAATGGCGAACGCCTTATCCATTACGCTATCGCCGCTCCTTTTCAAAAAGGGAAAATATTAAATATTTAACCATTATTTTTTTCAAAATTTGTTTGGACTTGTAAAGGTTTTTACTAGAATTTTGTTGAACATTTCCAAACGTCTTGAATTGATTTCTTAATCAAAATATAAACAATTTTATTTGTGGATCTTAACCCATTAATATATATATTTCTACACTGAGTTCGGATTTTAATTTGATGTAATGTGATTGAGTTCTTCGCTCTGTTATAGTGTTATTCAAAAATTTTCAAAATGTAAGCTTTAAATCATGATTGAAGATAAATTAATTATAAATAAAACACAAAAGTCTATCATCGAAAAAGAAAGAGGAAAAAACAGATTCTACTATTTTTTTTTAATATACTACGGATATAAACGGTTTCTGTGTCAACAATTTAGTGACAATCCTCGCGTAAGAGTTACCTGGTTAAGGGGGATGTACAAGCCAATTGGATCTAGTCTGGTGTGAAATAAGAAATGCCAAGAATGCGCTTAATACTCGTCTAAACTAGCCCAAAGTTACTCAAAGTGTTAATGCACTAGTTACCTACTGTTAGAGACCAAAATTAGTAAATAATTAAGTTTATTTTGTTTTAATTAGGAGGAAATTAATCATTGTAGAACTGCGCAGCTACAGCATTCACGAGATAAAAAATGCATTGAAAATGGTGTTAGTGTGATTCATTGATAATATGGCTACAACCATTTGTTTCGCTTTTTTCTTGTCATTATCTAGAATTCTTGAAAATTTGATTTTTCATATGTGTGTCTTCCTGAGGCCATGTGTTTATTTCGTCCGCCATTCCTCTGTCACACAGAGTTCGAATAACATTGATTTTAGAATAAATGCGACCATAAAAACACCAAGACAAGAAATTACTAAGTAATAATCATTAGGTAATATTACTTACTACTTTTATTTGTTGCATCGCTTCGTCTGATTAATGAAAAAACGCGATTTTAACCCCACTCCAGCAAATCGGGAAAAACTGTTCTGCTCACAGCTCGAGTTTCCTAGTAAATATTAATACACTGAGCACGTGTTTGACATATGCATATATCTGCTGTGGATAGATGCGTTTATTACTATGATTATATTTAATTTTTCGTGGAACAAGTCTTGATAATTTGTTGGTTTCTTTAAAACTCAAGAAAAAAGCTAAAAAATGCCCTAAACATATGTGTTTACGTCGGCCTTTTTTCTGTGGCGATAGAAGTTATTTTGAAATGGGGCACTGCAAGGAGGATGCTAAGCATTTAATTTGAAAATGTTAAACAATATGCGGTGCATGAAAAACAAATTGCAATTACATGTCTTACAATCGAAAAGTTGGTACATATGTCTATTTTGTTTAGCAGTTAGATAGAAAAAATAGGCAGTTAAAGGATTTCCTTCAGGCACCTCACATAAATAGCTTGATTGTTTGCAATGACCAACACATCGTATGGAGTAATGTTTGGACATAAAAACGCATCATGTCTCATTATGTTGACTACGTTGTAAGCTCTCGATCATTGAACATACGAAGCTTGATAAGATATATAGAGTTGTTTTTTTTTTAAATTTAGAAGCAATCACAATGTTCGCAAACAAAGGTCCATTGCATATGCTATGTCTATCATCGCAAAAAAATGAGAGACTACCCCCCCCTTCCGAAAATCCTATGTTCTTTTTTCAAAATAGTGCCAAAGATTAAAAAAATTGCATTACTAAGTATGTGATGGAACATGTACCAGCCTTATAAGACCATTTGTTGTAAAAATAATTGGTTGCCCTCTCTCCCGATCTACTGCCTAAAAATAGCCAGACTCAATTTTATTTTACATCCAATTACAGGATATTTTTTTCTTCCGTCAACAAATATGTTTGAATTTTAAGGAAATTTGTTTTCTCACCATAAATACGGACCTAATAATTTTCCCTGAGTTGGGAGGTCCACCAAACGTCATTTTAAAGATGGTATAAAATATTTAATTTTGTTGATTTTTTTCTTTACTCTGTAAAATTGTAATTTTGACAAAATGGGCAAATAGAAAAAAAAATATTCATTAAATCTCCTAACCCACTCTGAATGATTTTATTCCTTCTCAAATGTTGCTCCGCTGTAATGAAAATTGTAAATGTTTATTTGACAGAGTATATACGTGGGGGGGGGGGGGTGATCAAAAGTAAACGATATCTTAAGTATTTGGTAGTTATATTATTTTTGAAATATTCAAGTATTTTTCAAAGTGTAAATTGGAGATCTTTGATAGCGTATTGCTTAATTAAAAACAAACCCCTTTTCAAATTTGCTTTCACCGGGCAACATAACAAGTATCATATTCAACCATCTGCCTTCCTTCACTAAAACGGTCTATCCAATCATTGATTGAATTATTAGGAAGTCATTTGTCTTAACAAACTATGAACAAATTCTTTTACGTTACTTCAAAGGCAGTTTTAAGATATACCATAATTATTTTAGTCGTTTGTTGAATGAGTTCCACTGAGACAACCATTTTTCGTCACAAGTACCATTTTCACATTGTGAGCAAATCTTTATTCGGCATATGCTATTTATAGAACTTGAGTGTGCACCAAATTTGTTTCTAATCTAAATTGTGGTTTTGTAGATAAAGAGATAATTCGAGAACTTTTTGATCACCTCTCGTACTAGTAGATACTAACACAAGGTTTTTCATATCGATTTTAGGTGTTTAATTTCTTTGTGTTTCATTGGTGATAATTAAACTTTTGATAGATATTATAAGTTATCTGTGGAAAACTTACAAACTCTTAATTTTAAACTTTGATGGTGCTCATTTTTCCTTACCTGGAATCAAAAAGTTCATTTCAATACGTTCACTATTTAACAACTGTTCGATAATAATACTAAATAAATTACTTCAAGCCACACTATAACACAATTCCTCTTTGAAAAGTGTTCATATTATTTGAAATATTTTGCAACTGTAATTCTCTTCTACAATTAAAGATTGTTATGTCCCTCCATATTAAGAAGAGGTCTGGAAAACAAAATTCTGTGCTAAAAATAGACCACGTGCTGCTATCAATGAACTACTTTCAGGGTTCTTTACACTCTTTTTGAAGACATCGATACCTTGTTTTGAACTTAAAATTATCATTTAAAAGTGCAAAATTTAGACATTTTCTCAACAAATGGTTGTAGAGAGAACATTAATGCACACTTTGCGTATTTTTTTGGATTTTTTAAGACTCTGCTGAATTCTGTAGCTGCGCAGTTCTTAGGAGCATATCAAAAGCATTTTTCTGCAAAAGTATATATTATATATGCACAACATGCATTCAGTTATGCATATTTATTGTATCTTTATCATAAGGATTTAGAATTTGATCAAAATATAATGTACTTTAGCCATTTGAAGAAATGTTTACATTTTGTTCTCACTGCACTAAATATGGCCGTACATCCCCCTTAATTATGTTTACAAAAACTTTTTTTAGAATATCAGATTCAGTTCATCTCTTTTTGTATCATAATGGGTATCAAAATATTTGACTTTTTACGATGAATTATAATTTTTAATTTGTTATATGCTTGCGTTAAATTTATTTTTTTAAAAATAATTGATCATTAAAATCTGTCAGTGTACGTTGTGTGTGTATAGTTTCCTGTTAGTTAACCGGGGACGGGGGACACCTAATTAAGGTCTATTGTCTGACCAGTCGGTTTACTGTACACGGATTATCTGTTAATCCTACCCCGTTTCTCAATGTGTATACATCTGGTCGGATGTCATGTTTAATCTAATCGGCCGTTCCTCTGAAAATCGATTTTGAAATAACAATCATTGAAGACCTACTAGATTTTGACAGATACTTACCGCTGCATTATTAAAAAAATAATAAATTAAAGTAGGATTATTCATGATGTAAAAGTCATTAAAAATTTTTCATGGTAAAAGTCAATCTTTGAAAACTTAACATTTGTATACCAGGCGCCCCCCCCCCCCCCCCCCCCCCCCCCCAAAAAAAAAAGGACAAAGATTTTTTTTCATGAGATTATATAGTTATATTCCTGGGAATTCTGTAGCAGAATGTTTCTTTTAACATATGAAATAAAATGACCATTTTGTTTTTAAAAGGTAATATATATTTTGTGCTCATGAATATAGATAATTCTAAAAACAAATTGATTTTTGGTATTGTAAATTAAAGATATTTCACAAGGACTTGCTCACGGTGTGTAATAATTATTTATTTTTAAAAATCATATACACTAAAAATAAAAACAACGCATGTAATAATGGTTAATTTAAAAAATAAAAATAATATACAGTTCTGATACAGGATATCTTGTTTTATTATCACTGTAAATGATTTTAAGAAAAAAATAGACACCTCGAGCAAGCCCCTGTGGCTAGTAGCTAACTTCGTTCCCAGTGATCAAGTTTATGCATGTTGACAAAAAACTTGTAGAAATTATGATCGAGACAGAATTATGAGATGGAATAGATTTTGCGTAAATGATATTAAAATAAGTAAAAGTTAGTTCAAAGATTCTATATGAGATGCGTAAAAGTTTAATGAGGGTTGATCATTAAGTCACCATTAAGCTAAGCTTAATGGTGGTTTAATGGTAGCTTAATGAAGTTTGGACATTAAGCACCTGTAAGTCTAGCTTAATGGTGGGTTAATGGTGGCTTAAAGGAATTAACTTCTTTAAGCCACCATTAAGTCACCATTAAGCTACCATTAAGCGATTGCTTAGAGGTGGTCTTTCGTCTTGTGATTGGTTTAGTATTGAAAAGTCTAAATCCAAAAGTAGTCCCATGACCAATCATGGCTTTGCTATTCTTTAGAAGAAGATTTTTAAAGAATTTTTATAAATATGTCTATGTAGAACTCTGATCAGCCATTGTGGCCCCGCCCTACCCCCGGGGTCATTCTTTGAACAAACTTGATTCTTCACTACCTGCAGATGCTTCCATATAAATATGATCAATTGTGGATTTGCTATTCTTGAGAAGAAGATTTTTAAGAATTTTCTTATAAATTTCTATGTAAAACATTAGTTGGCCATTGTGGTTCTGCCCTAAACCCGGGGGTCATGATTTGAACAAACTTGAATCTACACTACCTGAGAATGCTTCCCCATAAGTTTCATCTTTCCTGGCACAGTGGTTTTTGAGAAGTTTTTAAACATGCCACCAAATTTTAATTAATTCCCAATTATCTCCCCTTGCATGAGGACCAGGCCTTTCATTTGAACAAACTTGAATTCCCTTTACCCAAGAATACTTTGTGGCAAGTTTGGTTGACATTGGCCCAGCGGTTCTTGAGAAGAGCTAAAAAAAATACGTCGAATCTGACGTTAAACAGTATGCAATCAATTATTTACAGATGGAGCGAATCTGCCCTTAACATCCGTATTAATTATACATATTGTACATTTCTTTTTATTTTTTCCTAGCAGCATGTTTTGAGAAAAAGATCTCATCATTATCATCATTTTTTTTCCATCATCCATATCAATAAACTAATACTTTCTTTCAAGTTATTCAGTTGCCTTATACATTTTCGTTCCTGGTCAAACTGCATCGTTTCAAATGCAATCCTCTGTGAACCTTTTTTACAATTTTCTGGTCCTTACAATCATAGTTCGTGTATTTTAAACGTCAATGTCATTACCTCAAAACCCTTTAGATGTAGCTGGGTGGTTTCTGAGGTCATCGTACGGCACGCCATCCTTCAATCTGAAATAATTTTATTTTTGGTTTTTCTTTTTTAGAATGAAACAAATCTACGAGTACCCATAAGGCTCATTCTAGATTCGAATTTCGAAATATAAGATTCGAAATTTGAGTTTCGATATTCAAGATCTAAATGAAAAGGCGGGTACAACATTTGATTACTCCCCTTTAATTTTTTTTCCTATCAAGAAATCGTTGAATATGTTTATACAGTAGAGGTCATTTAAATAAATTACAATGCAAGAAAAAGTGTTACATACATAAGAACGATATTTTAAGAAATGTTGGATTTTTGGTCTTAAGAGATATGCAAAGATTTATAAAATAAATTCTTAAATTCTATAATAGATTTATATCAAGAATATATTTATTTTGTATCATCTACTTCATTTACACGGTAGATGTCGCAGTAATAAACATAATATAAAAAGAGACTAGAGATTAACAATACAGCTCCCCCGCAATTTTCCAAACATATTTTTGTACAATTGAAATGTTTATCGAAAGGTCGGTTGCCATCCTCCCCCCTCTTTTTTAAAAAAAGAAAAGAAATAGGTACTGCAGGAAGTTCGACCATTCTCTCCCCTCCAAGGTCCGAAGTAGGATTTTGGGTTTGAACATTTTTTCCTTGAATTTGTTTGTCAGGTTTTTTTTCAGGTTTGAAATGTTTTTCTCTGGTCGCCTTCCTTTAAAAAAAAAGGTTGCTACGTCTCTGTAATAATTAGTAATACGGGTTTCTAAGTAGATAAAGTTTATGACATGGTTTTAGAAAGTTGCCAGTAAACAAGGTTGAGAAACCAAGAGACAGCCTCTTAATTACGGATGGGTGAAACAAATTTACTTAATGATTTCTCTTTGTTCAGCCCCATAAAAAATAAAAATAAAAAATCTCTGACCAAAGTGTTATGGTGAAAGTCTAAAATATACCATTAAAACTATAACATTACAGTTCTGCATTCTAGTCTAACTGCACAAATTTACCCTTGCATCACTGTGAAGTGTAGAGACGATCCTTAGTATTATATATCTATAATAATTTTCTCCCTCATCAGTGTACTAATTAAAACTGAATCAACATATCAATTCCGCAATTCAACGATAGGACCATATAATATTCTATACACTGAAAAAAATAATTAGTGAAAGTCACTGGGAAGACTAGTAAATTTACTGTCCATACAATCACTACCTTAAAAGTAGCTTAACTATGTATTGGGTAGATTTACTAGATAACATTAGTAAATTTAAGCATTCATAAGTAACCTTCACTAGGTATTTAAGAATCTTTACGACCACTACACCACTTTTCACTATCTTAGCTAGTGAACAGAGTGATTACTAATCACTGTCCATACAATCACTACCTTAAAAGTAGTTTAACTAGGTAATTCTCTCAGTGTATACGCATCTATTGTTCTGTTAAATGAGGGAAGAAAAAAAGACTTTATAAACATTTTTCATAATGTAACCAAAAATTTATTTTCATTTTGTTTTGAAACATGTGCCGTGTTTTTTCATTTTTATTTAGGCAAATGACCCATTTCTCATAAATATATTCAACGATTTCTTGATAGTAAACACATAATAAAGGAGAATAATCAAATGTTGAACACCCCCCCTTTCTTGTAAAATTGGATGTTGAATCTAGAAACTCGAATTTCCAATCTCGAAAATTTAATCTCGCATTTTGAAACTCGAATCTTGGTTGAGCCTTCTGAGCTTTCAAACAAATCAATTGTTAACATCCATATTATAAATTACAATTATTCATTTCATTTCTTAAGAGTTTTCAGAACGTAAGGATTACATAATTATTTTTGTAATTAAGTGGTAAATTCTTTGATAGAGTCTAACAATGTAAATTGTATATAAAACTATTTCTTGAGAAGTATACTATCCGCAATATCTGACTGATAAAAAATCTCAAAATGCTCTCAATAAAAAAATTCTGGTGTACATTGTGCTACATATATTACTTGGAAAAGAGAAAACTAAGTCATTTTCCCCCATTTTGCTCAATTTGTATTTGTTTTGGGTCAGAATTTTTAAAAATTTTAGAAAAAAAGCTCAGTAAGTAATATCAAAATATATATTTTCATAAAATGAAACATCAAAATATTTTAATGAAAAGGGCGTTTTCTTGAATCATATATAGACAATGTCAATTGACTTCTTAAAAAACAATTTTCTCAATAAATAAGCAAGTCATTGATTGAAATATTCAGATGCATTACTTTAACATCTTAAGCAAATGATCTCATCCTTAAAAAGTGACCCCACCTTCCTTTAGACAGATTTATCAAAACTGTACTTTACTGATATTAAATTAAGTGCATGTAATTTTTCATATACGACGGTTGTTCGAAAAGTTCATGGGCAATGTGAATCTTTTCCGCTTTGAAGCAAAAAACAAGCACAATATTATGTTTAAAAATTTTTTTTTTATATTTTGAATTTTACTTCATTTTAAAATCAACCTGTTTTGTGTAAGTAACCGCGGATACTTAACGGCATTGACACGTCAAATACACAGCGATAAGATTTTCTTTTAAAAAAACTATCTCAATACATTTTACACAGTAACAGTTCTATAAGAACATATTAAAAAGCTTTTGCTAGCACATTAAACTCAATTTTCTATCAATTGTTCTCCTAAATCATTGTATAATTTCCTTACTCAATTAATGTTTTGATTTCTTTCACAACTTCACTGTGCTTTTACAAGCTCGGCAACATTGAAGCGCCAGTGTCTTTTTATGATATTCTAACTTTTTAACGTTTTTGATTAGATTTAACGATATAAACCATTTCTCCACAGAGTGTTCTTGTTCGGAACAGAGTCTCTGTCACTCAAATACCTCCTGTACCATTTAAAAACACATGCACGACTTATTTTTTTTTTATTCCTGAACATTTTCGAAGATTATTCGGGTTTTTTCGGAGTGAAACATAAACTTTATTCTTTTCGCTTTGAATTATCTTCACAAAATGATTTCTTTTCAAGGAATCAAAGCATCAAAGCATTATCTGGATTTAAATCAATGAAATGTTTCTAAATTTAAAAGTCAAGGACTTTTCTCGTTTTACCTTCATTTTAGAGAGAATGTGACTACAAACATTTTCAAATTCAGTGTGTTATTGTGAATAACTACATTTGGTCTTCTGCGATCCAATTTTTTGCAGTTTTAAATTCTGGATAGATTTTAAATAAATCATATTTTTTAAAAATTGTTAATACAAATCATTTGGAAGTACTGTTAAACTATTTTTACCAAATTTGGATAACATAGGAATAAAAAAAGATTTGACAGGTGTCCACGGACTTTTCGAACAATCCTCGTATAAAGAAGAAATGAAGAAAACAACAAAATGTTGAAGAGTTACTTTAAATGAACTTTATAGCTATCCTCAATAGGAACATAATTCTGTAATATTGTTACACCATTGACTACTCTCGACATTGTATACATCGTATATGTACCTCCTTTCTCTGTATATACATGAATTTGTTGATGCGTTGTATTCAAACTTCCGTGCTGTAGTCTGAGTTACTTAAGTTTTTGCCAACCATTTTCTCTCAAATGTATTCACGGAAAAGTCTTCAATTAGTTAATTTTTTTTTGAAAATGGCGTCGAACAATTATGAAATAATCGGTCAAATTTGTATTTGTGACATTGAATCCTCTATTAAACAAAAATGCATCTTTTCTATGCATTTTAAAAACATTATCAACTCATTTTACTTATATAAAAAAAAACATTTTTTCAAACCTTGGCTGCCGGATTTAAATGTAGATAATTTCCGAATCCTCTATTAAACAAAAATGCATCTTTTCTATGCATTTTAAAAACATTATCAACTCATTTTACTTATATAAAAAAAAAACATTTTTTCAAACCTTGGCTGCCGGATTTAAATGTAGATAATTTCCGAAGCGTAATCCTGGAGGGATTTCAGCTGTTATACGAATGCGTAGTTAGACAGACACGAATATTCTATAAGGTGACCAATAAAAAAGAAGTAAGAAGCGTGACGTAAGTCTATATAAAAAGAACAATTTTGATTGGTTTGATAGCATCGCATTTTGCCTTCATTTGTCATTATGGGACAATGGTAATATACTATGGTCACATAAACAGACTTTTTCTACTTGTGTTCACATGTAGGTCACAAAAACAAATGTAAATAAATATTTTGCCAAAATTCATGTAACAAAGCCGGTCTATCATTAATTGCAAGAAATTTATTTTCTCAAATCAAAATATTACATTAATTATTAAGATGATGCACTGCATTGCTGTGAACGTGATACCTTACGAAATAGATAAACCATAGCGACACACACAGCAAGAGAACAGACAAAACAAGTAAAATTAAAGAAGTATATTCTGTTAAAGAATATCAGACGTTATTTTTATATATTTAGCACAGAAAAATTCACTTTTACAGTTTAATTTATTGAATATTTTAATGAATAAAATTATTTCATCTCATTTATTGTTTTTGAAAAATGTTAAGTCCATCGGAAACAACACTGCCAACTTCATGTCATGAAAAACTACATAATTCTAGCGTATAACTTTACATGACTCAATATGCCTAAACTTAACCATTTATTTATTTGCAATCTCTCAGAAAAGAGCTTTTTATTTGATTTGCAAATAAGGTAGCTACTTTCGAATTTAAATGAAAGTCCAAATCTGATAGGATTAAGCAATAACATATGTAACACAGGATTATATTTCCGAAGGTCTAAAAACGATCAATATAGATAAATTTGTAATTGTTTTAAATCTTCCTTGAAGAAAAGGTCAACTCAAAAACGTTATTTAGAAGCTATTTCATTTTGGGCATCAAATAAATTATTTTAGAACATCAACATCCTATAACGATCGCTATAATTTAAGAAAGTATATGTACGATTAAAGATAGTACATGACGTAAATGATATTTATATTTTTCTATGGATAGCATAACAAAAGTACTTAAATGTTTTTGTTAAATTTTTCCCTGGCGACATATTTTGCTAAGTAACATAATAACGAAAATATTGAATAGCTTCAAACTTTACTTATGACATTAATGTATTTTGTTCGTATTCGGGAAAACTTCTTTATCATTCAATACAATAAACACATTGTTTAAACAGCTATTCAAAAAACTTTAAATGAATGAAGATCTGCATGGGTAAAGATTTATGAAGGATATGGAGATAACGAACAGTATTCAATGTCAAAGTCCATAAAACAATCCAAAATAGGTGCAGAGCAATCACGAACCTCAGAAAAATCAAAGATGCAATGAGGTATCATGGAGGAGAGAGCATTCCCTGCTGACCTGTCACAACTGCCGTGTGTTTCCTGTCATAATCGGGATATTACAAAAAATCCGTAGTCAATTCAGTGTTTAAATAATGGACTAACAATGGGTATGAAAAATAGCTGTCATCATTTAACTCAATGATAAATTGCATTTCCCGACAATGTCATTGTATATCGATCATACGACTTACGAAATGATGACTTTAAACGAGAGTGCTGATATTTTTGTTTCATCAACTTGCCTGTCAATAATTTACCTCGGTTTAGATATTGTTCATACGTAGAGTATGATCTTACGTATCGAATCAACTGAGATATATATATACTCCGTATGCAGGTGATGAAGATGACGAGTGTTATCTTTTTCTCATCAAGTTTTTTAGTACGGTTGGAAGAACTGGTCTACAAAGATTACATAGATATTGTCCATGATACACTTCAACTATTTTATGATATAAGTTTCAGAGCATTTGTCGTATCAGGACATTTTCTTACAAATCTTACAAACTAAAGTAATTTTTAAGCTGAACGATAACAAGACAAGAAAATTTCCAAGTTCCATTTTTTAAGAAAATATTGTCTATTATGAAAAAACCTGGTCTATAATAATTTACTGTCAGGGCTGGTTTGTATATAGACATATAATTTTATGTTAATGGATATTAAAAAAAATCTTGGAGTTATTTGAAATCCTATTCAATTTACATGACATCTAAAAAATGTCAATTTTTTTTATAAGCAAATCAGCACTTTGATTCAGAGTAAGTAAATGCTAAGATATCTGATCGTATTTTCCCCATCTTTGCATGCATATATTAACAAATGTAAATGTTTCAACGAAGCTGATGAAAAACAATCACAGACAATGTTCCTACAAGTGAGATGAAAAAAATATTGCAATTAATATAATCCACATAAACATAAACATTATATCGTTTCAATTTACTAGCTGCGTGATGGAACAGAAATGGTTTTAATTTCATTGTAATTTTAATTTTACAACTAATTTATACTATCTATGTAGAAATACAAGACTTCATTGGTCTGAGCTTTAACATCTTATTTTATAGAATAAATCAAAAATAATTTTGTGGACCCTAAATCATTAAAGGTAATGTGGGGTTTAAAAATTAAATAGTGTGCAACACTATTTCTTTTTAGATCATTTACGTTGAAAAAAGAAAAGAAAACTTTGCCTTGCTTAGAAAAACATATAAACTTTTTAAAAAGGAAAGTCGGGGGAATTAATTTCAAATCCAAACTAAATAAATAAAATGCATATATTAAATTGTGCAGTAATAGATACATGTAAAACAAGACAGGTCTATGTAGTACACACAACGGGTAAAGAAGGAAGAAAAACAAATGTTTCGAGATAAAGGAATTGCATAAAATTGGTCTCAAAATTATACGCGAAAAAATTTCATGCTCTCAAAATATTAAATCGGAATAAAAGCAATTTATAGGAATTTGTTTTAAATTTTAATGCTTTGATATTTTACGTCCTAATAATAATAGATGTTTTCTTAGTGTGTCAAAGGTTCTTAAATTTCCATACACGCTAAAATATGCGTTAAATCCTATCTTTTATCTGTTTATCTTTTGAAACATAAATACATTATGAAATTGAAGTATTTTTTCTTTGTTTCTTCAGGAGAGGCGTTTTTCTTTCTATTCAATAACATGAATGCTAAAATTTGTAATGTTGGGAGGGTATAGAATACTGAAATAAATACAAAAGTCTGTAGTTTGAAAAGGTATACATATCGCTTTAAATACTGTATTACTTAGATATTCAACCACCTGATCTAATCATGCAATATTAGGAAATGCCTAACTAAAGGTATGCTTGTTTTCAAATTGTTTAGAGAGAGAGAGAGAGACAGAGTTGCAACATGAAAGAAAGATTGTAAAAACGATTGAACTGCTTGGATTTGTTACAGACAATACCCCACTAGATTTCTTAACATGATAAAAAGATAATAGACCATTTCTGATGTTTTGATAGTTTAGAATATTTAATTTTTTATGAATCTGTTTTATTCTATTTTATAAGACTTAGACATGGAGAAAAATTTATGCAGCACTGTTTCGACAAAAATATTTTTTCTGAACTATTATACAGCCTGGTTTTCTTTTCTATGTAAATTTGCTCAATTCTTAGAAGGACAGATATTTTTAACATTTAAACCCATTACATCCCAATATAAAAGACATAAAAGTAAATATACTTTGAATACTGTATTTCATTTCCTGAAAGACTGTTCCACGATCCCTGCGCGTAGTGTTTTTTCATCATTGAATAATTAGTTTGGGATGATCTTAGCCTTGAAAATTGAGTTTAAATATGTACACAAAGGAAAATACTTGTGTCAATTTTTCTCGTCACTTTTGACCTGCTTGCCTTGAAATCTAACCCTGTTGAATAGGGGCTTGTCTGCATGTTTAATTATATGATATATGTATATATACATACATTTAAAAAATAATCCGTTTCAAATATTTTTTTTTTACAAATAAACATAAGAGACTATTGCATCAAATTTTTAAATTACAAAAAATACAAACGAACAAACAAACAAAAAAAAAATAATAATAATAAAAAAAACCATGGCGGATAAAGAAGGAAGAAAAACAAATGCTTCAAGATAAAGGAATTGCATAAAATTTGTCTTAAATTATATGCGAAAAAATTTTATCCTCTCAAAATATTAATTCGGAATAAAAGCGAGTTATAGGAAGTATGTTTTAAATTTTAATGCTGTGATATTTTACTTCCAAATAGTAGTAGATGTTTTATTAACTTAATGTGTCAAAGGTTCATAAAATTCCATGCACGCTCAAATATACGTTAAATCTTATCTTCAATCTGTTTATCTTTTGAAACATAAATACATTATGAAATTGAAGTATTTTTTCCTTTGTTTCTTCAGGAGAGGCGTTTTTCTTTCTATTCAATAACATGAATGCTAAAATTTGTAATGTTGGGAGGGAATAGAATACTGAAATAAATACAACAGTCTGTAGTTTGAAAAGGTATACATATCGCTTTAAATACTGTATTACTTAGATATTCATCCACTTGATCTCATCACGCAATATTAGGAAATGCCTAACTAGAGGTATTGCTTGTTTTCAAATTATTGAGAGAGAGAGAGAGAGAGAGAGAGAGAGAGAGAGAGAGAGAGAGAGAGAGAGAGAGAGAGAGAGAGAGAGAGAGAGAGAGAGAGAGAGAGAGAGAGAGAGAGTTGCAACAGGAAAGAAAGATTTAAAAAAACATGAATGCTAAAATTTGTAATGTTGGGAGGGTATAGAATACTGAAATAAATACAACAGTCTGTAGTTTGAAAAGGTATACATATCGCTTTAAATACTGTATTACTTAGATATTCATCCACTTGATCTTATCACGCAATATTAGGAAATGCCTAACTAGAGGTATTGCTTGTTTTCAAATTATTGAGAGAGAGAGAGAGAGAGAGAGAGAGAGAGAGAGAGAGAGAGAGAGAGAGAGAGAGAGAGAGAGAGAGAGAGAGAGAGAGAGAGAGAGAGAGTTGCAACAGGAAAGAAAGATTAAAAAAAACATGAATGCTAAAATTTGTAATGTTGGGAGGGTATAGAATACTGAAATAAATACAACAGTCTGTAGTTTGAAAAGGTTTACATATCGCTTTAAATATTGTATTACTTAGATATTTATCCACTTGATCTCATCACGCAATATTAGGAAATGCCTAACTAGAGGTATTGCTTGTTTTCAAATTATTGAGAGAGAGAGAGAGAGAGAGAGAGAGAGAGAGAGAGAGAGAGAGATAGTTGCAACAGGAAAGAAAGATTAAAAAAAACGATTGAACTGCTTGGTTTTGTTACAGACAGCACGTCACTAGATTTCTTAACATGTTAAAAAAATAATAGACCATAGCTGATGTTTTGATAGTTTAGAATCTTTATTTTTTATGAATCCGTT